TGTCCCGTAACTCGACATGACACAAGGCAGCTAATGGGATGTGTAGAAAATGCAAACAGCAAGCCTGCTATGCTTCTGGACAACAGGTCTCTCTAATTAGGAGTGTATGTGCAGACTCAGACAGGACCGGCATTAGCCTGTCCACTGCCCAATAACCAGCCACTGACTGTCCAAATATTCTACTGGCTAGATAAGCACAGATCCCCTTAATGAGTTCCTATTGAGAAGCCATATATGTAGATTGTAGCCCATGCCCTTCTCCTCCTGTCCGATCTGCTCAGTTTCAGAAGGCAAGAGAAATTACTCAGCCAAAAGGAACACCCTGCAATTCTTGCCTTGCATGCACAGCCTTTAACCAACATGTCATCTATTAGAAATGACAATGGTTTTTCAGTTTCCATACAATGCCTTTCTACACATTCCAGGCCTGTCGAAACTGCGGGTCATACATTATTGCATTTTCTTCCTGACTGATTTACAATCTCAACTTTTCTGTTTGCACAAAAGGATTTAAGTTTAAGCAAAGTTTAGACTCAAGGTTGTATTTTTCAGATATTTTAATCCCCTTCCTTGAAAAGGATCTCCATATTTGCAAAAGCATGAAACTGTTATGTTTTGGAAAGCCAGATTCAGTTTAGAAAGGATTTTCATACACAATGGCTCCTCTATGTCAATGTTATTGTTAAGAAAGCAGTTGCTGCATTTCTTAATGGCTTATGCTCTCCTTAGACAGGTTGATGTTTTAATCAATTGAATAAAGGGTTTAACTTTACTTGATATGAAGAGAACATTTAAAGGCAGGAAATAAATAAAAACAAATGTTCATCATTCCGGAGCCTACAGTGAGCAGAATTGTTCAACAAAAGAGCAAGTGTTTGGTTCTTTATAAGGATGGGAGTAGTAAACCAAAATACGCATTTTTATCAGGTACTTATATAGCACCAAGATTTTACACAGTGCTTCACATGTATATTGTACATTTACATCAGTTCCTGCCCTCAAGGAGCTTACAATTTAAGGTCCCTAACTTGCATTCATACATACTAGGGCTAATTTAGACAGGAGACAATTAGCCTACCAGCAAGTCTTTGGAATGTGAGAGGAAATTGGAGTACCCAAAGGAAACCCACGTAGGCACAAGGAGAATAATGCAAATTCCATGCAGGTAGGGTCATGGTTGGGACTCAAAACAATGACTCTAGTGCTGCAAGGCAGAGATGTGAACCACCAAGGCTGGCCATAGATGGAGTGAAGTTCTTTTCTGCAACCGCGGGTTGCAGGAATGCAATTTGCTTGATCCCCTCATCAACACAGACAGTGTTGACAGGGGAATCCCTCCTATGGAGCCATTGTGTTCTCCCAGTCGTGGGGCAGGGGAAGCTGTCCCAACAAGGAGAACACAGTCATTTTTCTAGTGCCTATAACAGCCACTAGCAATAATCAAATGTAAAATCTGGCAGGCAGGTTGTACCCAAGCTGATCCATCTCTCAACTTGGATAAATACAGCCTACCCATGTATGGTTCGAAATCTCAGCCAGTTCCTGCTGGACTGGCCGAGATTCAAACCGCCTATGGCTGGCCTAAGCCACTGTGCTTCAACATCATTCAATTATATTTCTAACAGATATCATTTACATTTCACATATCAGTGCACATCATGAAATATTTGGCTTAGTATTCATATTTCCTAGTGACTTCTAGTGCAGTGTTAGTTCTTTTTATTGTGCCTGAGCTATAGTTTCATTTCTTTTGCTGGCAGACATCTTATGCTTCCAGAGGTGTAGTAGGAGTTCTGTAGGAAGTCTAATAGATGTGAAAATGTATGTCTCCAAAAACCTAATTTTAATTTTATATGATTTTTTTATTACAATGTTTTATACAGTACAGTAACTATGTTGTTAGATTGGGCTTACAATGCCTAGAATTCAGTAATAGAAAATATTAAAATATTATTTTAAAAAATCACCAGGAGGTAAAGCTATATGGTAGAAGAGACATGCAAAGTCTCTTTTGCCAAAAAAACTTTCCCCACCCCTTGGTAATTTTTTGTTTTTTCCTCTGCATGCACCATGTTGTGTACATTCCATTGCTATTCTTGGCATGTTGAGAATAAAATAAGGAGCCAGTGACAATGTAACTTCATGAACAGCAAATATTCATTTTTTTACTCCAACTTAAATGTCTTTAACATGTTATTGATCAGTATACCATTTCCTCACAAAAATTAAAAAAAAAATACACCACTCCAATTTCTACCACTTTCATCCCATTACAGAAAGGCATTCTTGCAGGATTTCGAGTGACCTGCTCTGCCTTGAGGCATGTGATGTTATGCACACCTCCTGGGAGTGTCAGAACTTGTTCCCCCCAGGGGCGGACTGACCATTTGGAAACTTGGGCACTGCCTGAGGGCCCGGGGTCAGTAGGGGGCCCCATGAGATGCCCCTGGTACCTTTTTCATAGGCTTTTTTGAGTTTGGGCAAGGACACAGGGGCCCCATGATGCCCTATTGCCTGGGGGCCCCATGAGTTGTCAGTCCGCCCCTGGTTCCCCCCAAAAAAAATTATTTTTATTTTTGGGAGAACAGTTGCTTGATCAATTTCTTCATAAAGCCATGTGCGTTCGGATGCAGGAGGCTAGCAAAAATAATGCCCCACTAATATATGAAGCAATATTATATTGGATATAGTTATTAGAAGGATCATGAACACGTAAGCATGATCCACAAATCTGATTTGTTGTCTCTTCCCAGGCATGTCCATGCAAACTTAGCTAAGTGTACATGTTTTCAATATGAAACAGTAGAGAGGCAATGCTGGGAGAGAACGGGCCTAAGTGGACAAATACTAATCATTCCAATAACAGATATTCAACATTTCTAATTGACCTTAATTTATCACTGAATTCAACCAAATAAAGCCAGATCGTGTGAACGCCATCTTAGGGCTATTGGTACCTTAAAACCTATTTACTTGGTGTTATTCCTCTTTACCTCTGCCAGGAGCTGGACAACCCACTACAATCAAAGAGTTAAAGTGTAGTGATATTTGTGATGCAATTAGAATAGTCTAGCTGTCGCTGTTTCCCACTATGTCATAATGATAGATTGACCTCATCAATATGATCCTAGCAAGAGAACGGCTTCCATAATTATCATATATGTTAATTTTTTGCTAGCATGGCCTTATTATTATGAAGGCCTAATTGGGTTTCTTTACATGCAGGAGACAGTTTTGGTGGCAGGTTTGCAGTATGTTTTAGAAGATGAAAGCTCATGTATTTTGCCTATTTATCTTGTTAGTTGATGAAAGTAAAACTCAGAAGGGAGCTACTGCAGAAAGAAAAAAATATGTTTGGCAAAGTTGCAGGAAGACTTCTATAATTCAGTGATTCACTGATTATTTATATATTTTTTGTGTGATAAATATTACAGTAACTACAGCAGTTGCCTTCTAAAAGTGTATGTAAATGCACTTTTTTTTTTCTTCTTAGTTTTCGATAGAGATGGGAAGATTTAGATTCTTTGTCAAGTTTATATTACTGTCTGTGAGCCTTCTAGGAACATTCGCCCATTGTGTTAGTCCTGGTGATCATTTTCGCTGAGTCAGAAAATAATGGGACATCCAGCAATTTAGAGCTCTAACCAAAACAGGAGGTGAGGGTACATTTTTAAGAGATTTTCTCCCCAGTGAGACACATTCAGCAAAAATTACCTTACAGTAACCCACTCCATAAGCTATCCAGCACTGCAAAAAATAAATTTTTGGCTTTTGCATACACTTTTCAATCTAGGGGAAGAGAAGTTTACTATAAAATCAGAACTTGTACAAGAAGACAGGCATACCATCAATTTTGCTCCTATAGTCAGCAGTGTCTCAGATGCTCTGAGATACAGTCAACATATAGTTATGTATAATTGTAAAATGCTTCCATTGGGCCTGTTTGTCATTTACTCCCACTCCTACCCACTACCAGTTCTTCCTTATTTTTGTTTTATGTCCTCTCCCCCCTTCTTGCCCTCATTTTCTACTGTCTCTCTTTGGATTCTCCCATGAGGCCTTTCTCTGACACCTCCTTTAGCTTATGCTAGTTTTTGCCTCCCATGGCTTATCTGTTCCCATTTGGTACCATGATTTTATGAAAATACCTTATTCCTTACTTCTAAGACCTATATTACACAGTGGAGGTGCTGTACAACTGTGACACTTTGAGGTTGATTTACTAAAGGCAAATAGACTGAGCACTTTGCAAAGTGCAGTTGCGCTAGAGCTTAGTAAATAAGGGGAAGCTCTGCTGACTTCCATCATCCAATCATGTACTGTCAAGGTCCTACCTTTCCTCAGAGCTTGTGCATCCCATGTGCTGGTGTCCATCTTGGGTTTCTGCAAAGCATGGTGGGAACCTTTATGCCTTCAGGCTTCTGCGGTTCCTCCTCAGAAGGGTGTGGTTCATCACATTTAAGCCTGCTGTCTGCAAATGCCCTCTGCATTCGTGTCTTGTGTGTTAGTGTAGCAATAGCTCTGTTTATACTCTCGTGACTCTCCTGGAATCTGACTCGGCTTTTGACTAGACCATTCTCTGCATTTTCCTTTGATCTGAGCTCCCGTTGCTGAACCCGGCCTGTGACCTGTTATTCTTGTCTACTGTTCTGTACCGTTTGTCCCATTGTTGTCGACCTGGCCTGCCCGACTACGCTATTGTCTGATCTGGTTCCTACCAGCTACACGCCATTGGCGGCGGCCATTACCGCAGCTGGGGTGTCTTGGGGGCCGCGACCTGGTTCCTGGCTGCGTCAAGTCCATCCCCACCATCAGGGGCCCTGGTGAAGGGCAGCCTGGGACTTAGACTCCACGCCCTGAGGGACTCCGGTCTGTGGGTGGTGGTTGTCGTCAGTCAGTGCGTGACTCTGCCACTAGGCCTGCCTGTCCATTCCACAGCTCCTGCCGTGACATGTACAAGCAAAAATGCATTTTTTTTATTTTCCTTGCACATGATTGGGCAGGGGCGGACTGACCATTCGAGCACTCGGGCACTGCCCGAGGGCCCGGGGTCAGTAGGGGGCCCCATGAAATGCCCATGGTACCTTTTTTATAGGCTTTTTTTGAGTGTGGGCAAGGATATAGGGGCCACATGATCCCCTATTGCTCGGAGGCCCCATGAGTTGTCAGTCCACCCCTGTGATTGGGTATTCTTTAAAAAGTGAAGCTTTACCTCATTTACTAAGCTCTGGAACAGCTGCACTTGCATAGTCTATGTGTCTTTAGTAAATCAACCCCATTATGTCTTATTCTAATTATCTCTTGTCTGTATATTTGAAAACCAATAAAAATGATTGAATAAGAAATAGTAGCTTGTTCTTTTTAAGATCATAATTGTTGTCAGTGTACAATATGAAGTCAGGGCTTCTAAGAAATAGGACTTGTGGAGCAACAGTAATTGTACCAAAAATACAATAGTAATAATTGGTTCACCCCCACCTACGCAGTAATGACTGCATAACTGAGGACAGTTCATGTGGTTATTTTTACAAATAATTTAAAGTAGAACTATAGGCAAAACTTTTTTTTTCATTTTGGATAGCATTGGTTTATTTTTTTGCCATCTACATCCTATTGGGGTAGAATTGCCTTCACTTCCTATCCCATAGCCAAAACAGGAAGTGAGAGGAAATACCTGTAATTTAAGGGAATCCCTAGAGGACCAACCCAAAATTAGAGATTTTCTTTTACTTTCAACAATAATGGTAAACAGGACAAATAGAGAGGCTAAATCTCCAAAATGGAGGCACAGACAGCAATTACATCTGACAGGGGTTCTAATCTATTTCCACTCTACAAAACTAAAAAAAAGTTTTGTCTTCAGTTGTAATTTAAACATGAAACTTAATTTGTTTATAGTTTGCTTTCCCAGGGTCTTTCTCACCCTCCTCTCCAATATGCTAATGAAATTTTTAAATAAAGCATTTCTGTTTTCATTATCACAGGGCATCTGTGCTTCTCTATGCAATGCAATAAGTTTATGGTTGGTGGGAGGGGTCAGCAGGGTGCTGTACATACTATAGCTTCATAAAAGCATCACCTCACCTTGCCTCAGTACTTCTCTCAAGAGCCCTCAGCCCTAATGCAAGCACTGGGTTGGCTCTTGGGGGAGGAAGTAGTTATGCAAATATCAATATGCCTTCATGGATGCATGTCAGTATGTGGGAGGCTCATTTACTAAGCAGGCTGTATGTGCATGCAGCCTGCCACAGAAAATGCCCACATATGATGCTGAGCCTCTATAATTGAAAGAACTGAAGTCCAAAGAATGTAAGGGGCATGTCGGAGACAGTAAGACTGGGGAGTAGTTTTCCCCCTTTTTTAATTTGTAGCACTACCCTTGTAAGGGCTGCTGGATTTGATTGGGTCCCCCTAAGCCATGCACAGCCAGGCAACAAGCATTTTTCACACCTTGCACAGGGGAGTCAGTAAACAGTCCTTGAGCTTGGTTTTGTGATTTTATTAAGGGGTTAAGAACTTGGATGGGGTCTATAATTATATGGGATGCCCAAGGATCTGTAAACTTGAGAACAACTTCTGAGCAACTATGTGCAAAAATGTGGATAGCAACAGCCTGTTTGAAGAGCACTAAAGGCTTTTTGGTGTGTACTTCCTGATACCCCTGATGATTCCTCCTCTTCACCCAGCTTTCTGAGGGTATCCCTGATCAAAGGGCCCAAGAGCTGTCAACTGAACAGTTCCAGATGAGAAGCTAGTTGGGTTTTGCACCTGACCACCCTCTCCCCTTATCTGGCCCAGGAGGGTATAAAAGTATTCACTCTGTCCTTTCCTGTTTGCTTAGTGGGTTGGTGGCTGCCTTTAGGCCTTACGCTAGGCTGGCTCATTCTCTGCTCTACATCCTGGGGATGTTGAGGCAGTTGAGATCCTCTTTTCCAGCAATCAGCCTGTAGGTAGGACCCCTTTCTGGGGCCTTCTTCCAGGCTCCACACTCCAGCTTTCCTTACTTCATCTTCCACCCGACTATCCTCTCAATGCCACAGGCTCTATCATATTTAAGGGTTGCCTTGGTCACTATGTCCAGCCTCCTGCCAATGGATTGGCCAAGGTCCCTCAAATATGCAGATCTGATCATCCTCCTCAGAATTATGATCAGAATCAAATTCTCAGGGGTGAGACAGCTCCCTAGAATAGCCTTAATATAACAGAAAATCTGCACTTAGACAAAAACAAACACCCATAAAGAGGAGCTGGACACTATACCTTGATACCAGGCATCTCATATAAAGTTTAGTCATTGTACCTGTATATCCCTTATGTACCAGAGCAATATTTACATTTCTGGTATGGGGCTATGGATTCAGCAATAACTTCATTTTTACCCGCCTCCCGCCCACCATACAAGGAAATGACGGGCGCAAGGCGGTTCTCTCGTTCTGGGATGATGTCCTCCCACTCTAACCGCTCATGCGCGACCCCGGAGTCGCGCAGCGTGGCAATTGGTGGTGCGCTGGGTCCCTGGGACACAGCGGATCACCGATCAATGGAAAGAGCCGATGACATGGGATCAGTTGTGTCCAATCACAGCTGATCACAGGTAAATAAGGAAATGCCGGTTATCGGCATTCCTCTCCTCATGAGCTGTCACACTGACAGCTCATGAAGAGGAGAGCCGGTAATCGGCATTCCTCAGAGGGGACATGTACACTGATCATCAGGGCACTGATGATCAGTGTGCCCTGATGATCAGTGTAGCCCCAGCAGTGCCACCTGTCAGTGTTCATCAATGCCACCTGCCAGTGCCCATCAATTGCACCTGCCAGTGCACATCAGTGCCACATCAATGCCACATATCAGTGCCTACCAGTGCACATCAATTCCACATATCAGTGCCCATCTGAGCTGCCTTTCACTGCTACCTATCAGTACCAGCCAGTGCAGCCTATCAGTGCCAGTCAGTGCTGCCTATCAGTGTGAATCAGTGCCGCCTATCGGTGCCACCTAACAGTGCCAGTCAGTGCCACCTAAAAGTGCCAGTCAGTGCTGCCTTTCAGTGCCGCCTATCAGTGCCATATATGAGTGCTGCCTTTCAGTGCCCATCAGTGATGCATGTCGATGTCCATCAGTGCCTCCTCATCAGTGCCGCCTATCAGTGCCCATCAGTGCAGCCTCATCAGCGCACATCAGTGAAGAAGAAAGATGATTTATTTGCTAATTTTTAAAACAGAACAAAGACATTTTTTTTGTAATTTTCAGGCTTTTTTCATTTGTTTAGCAAAAAATTAAAAACCCCAGTTATGATTAAATACCATCGAAAGAAAGCTCTGTCTAAAAGAAAGATAAAAATTTAGTTTGGATACAGTGTTGCATGACCGTACAATTGTCATTCAAAGTGTGACAGCACTGAAATCTGAAAATTGGCCTGGGTAGGAAGAGGGTGAAAGTACAAGCTAAATAAAATGTTATGCACCTTGATGAACGGAATTGTGATATGAGTTACCGGTATGTAAGGTGCAGTATCAAGAGAATATTGGACAAAGACAAGGAAAACTTGTGTGAAATGATGATGTTAGAGTGCAGCATAAATAACTGTTAACAAAAAAACAAAAGCTGGTAAAAAGCATGTAGAAAGAATCTAGCCATTTTTTTTAAGTTCCTTATTCCGTTTTGCTCAAATAGTGGATTATTCTAGACCTAGTGTTACCAACATTCTTGACAACATTTTGTATGTGAATATATATCTATGTTTTCGCAAGCGTTCCGCTTGAGGTGCGGTGAAAAAACTCCTGATCACAGCATCTTTGGGAGTTAAAAAAAAACACCCTAAAAATGTCTCTTCCCGTTGAACTCAATAGAAACCACCTGAAAAACGCCTGAAAAGCGCCTCTGGGAAGCGTTTTTGGTGCAGTTTTTAAGTCACATGTCCTTTAAAAATGTTCACAAAGAGCGGCAATAGCCTGTGCGTTTTTGCTGTGTTTTTACCACAGATCAGTGTGAAAGTAGCCTTACACTTCCTTACTTGAAGATGCTGCTGGTTAAGAAACACTTTGTGATGATCCAGAAGCAGTAGAAATAGTGTTTCTGGAATTAGAATTCAGAAGGGAACAGCTCCTCGTACTTTTTGGTTTCCATTATTTGATTCCATAAAGTATGTTTTAATGTCTTTAGAGCAGGGGGCAGACTGACAACTCATGGGCCCCCCCCAGGCAATAGGGGATCATGGGGCACCTGTGTCCTCGCCCAAACTCAAAAAAAACTATGAAAAAGGTACCAGGGGCATCTCATGGGGCCACCTACTGACCCCCGGCCCTCGGGCAGTGCCCGAGTTTCCAAATGGTCAGTCCGCCCCTGCTTTAGAGAACCTCTGGCATGCCAAGAAGTGTTGTTCTTCCAACAATATTTGCAAATTGTAGCTTTGCTCTCAGCAGCAGAACTTGCACTGTGGAAATGTTTCCAAACTCTAAATGTTGGAGAGGAGGAAAAGAATAACCAATGTACAGCCCAGACTATAGGTAAACATTATACTATGATGGTGGAGAACATCAATAGGGATCATTTAAAGTAGAACTATAGGCAAAACTTTTTTTCATTTTGGATAGATTAGGGAAGGGTTATAACCCCTGTAAAATTTAGTTTTTTTCACCAACTGTATCCCATTGCAGAGATTTCCCTTCCCCTCCTGTCCCATAGTCAAACTGAAAGGGAGAGAAAATCTCTGCAAATTAGGTAAATTCTTTAGGAACCTGGTCACCAGAGCTAGTGTCCCAATTGGGAGATGTCCCCCTCTTTTACTTTTCTGGGGACAACACAAAATTTGGGGTTTTCTTTTACTTTCACTTTCAATGATTATAATAAACAGGAAAAATAGAGAGGGCGGATCTCTTTAATGGGGCACAGACAGCAACCAACATTCTAATCCCTCTCCACTCTATCCAAAACTAAAAACAAAAAAGTTTTGCCTTTAGATATACTTTTAAGGCTATACAGATAAACTAATTTGTCAGACAAATTTACCCTTTTACCTGTCAATGAATGCTTGAGAGGACAGAAACTACTGTATTCCAACAATCACCCAACTGTAGGAGGTACAAGATGGAGCCCAAAAGCAAACTAAACTGGATCCTTTTGACTGCAGTGCGCCCTAGTGGTAGAAATGCATATTTCTCTTGTCTGAGAAGTGCATTGAGAAGTACAGTGTTACTTGAATTGTATTCTAGGAGTTGCTTGTCTTCAGCTGAGAGAACTTGCAATAATTTAAGACTTTACATAAAGTCTCAGAAACCTTTCAGTAAGGTCTTTATGGTATATAGTTTGATTACAATGCCATATATATATTATTTATCATTCTAAAAGAACATATTCCACACTTCTATTTCTTTCCAGTTTTTCTGTAAAAAAAAAAAAAAAAAAAACGGATTTGGAAAAAAAAGGGAAAAACGTTTTTTTAATTTTTTTCCCCAGGCCTTCGCATCTCTACCCCTGATGAAATAGGACCCTCATCAACATAGAAAAAACATTGTCTTGCCTTTACAGAATTGTATAATTAAATAAATATACTTGGACTATCAATTTTTGGATTGCTGTTCTCTTTCCTATATTGCCTTCATTTTTCTAAAGTCCCTCAAAGATGTCTTTCTGAACAGCCTAACTAGGGTCATTGTACTCCATAATGTATTTATTACAGGTACTTATATAACACCATCAATTTACAGAGCTCTTTACATATATATTGTACAGGGGCGGACTGACCATTTGGAAACTCGGGCACTGACCGAGGGCCCGGGGTCAGTAGGGGGCCCCATGAGATGCCCCTGGTACCTTTTTCATAGGCTTTTTTGAGTTTGGGCAAGGACACAGGGGCCCCATGATCCCCTATTGCCCGGGGGCCCCATGAGTTGTCAGTCCGCCCCTGATATTGTACATTCACATCAGTCCCTACCTTCAAGGGGCTTACAATCAAAGGGCGATAACTCACATTGCCAATTTAGACAGGAGCATTTACCCTGCCAGCATGTCTTTGGAACGTCAGAGGAACCGCACACAGACACAGGAAGAACATGCAAACTCCAGGCACGTAGTGCCGTGGTTGGAATTTGAACCGAAGACCCTAGTGCTGCCAGGCAGAAGTGCTAACTACTTTGCCACTGTGCTGCCCATGTAATCAAGTCTTTGCTCCACAAAGTGAGATTTGATTTATTTGTAGATTCAGTGCCTCTGACCTATACCTTCCAAATATCCAGCACTATTTTCATGGGCATGATGATAAAAGTAAAAGTCAATTCAGAAAGATTACCACACTCATTAAAATAGCAGTGTTAGACTGGTGTCAACTTTGTGTTTCAGTAAGGTGTTGTTCAGGAAATCGTGAAAGAAGCCATTAAAGGTTGGTGATAAATTAACACTTCAGGAGATAAAGCAAAAAAAATATGTGGAAATAAACAAAACTCCAAAAAATAACAAGATAAAAATTAATAGTAAATTGAAAGACACAATAAAAAAATATTTTTTTCTTAAATATTCAGCTTCGATCCAGAGCTGCCTTCTCCATCCCCCATATTTCTTTACTGCTGCAAGATGTCCTCAGTCTGATGACCAGAATAATTCAACCCGCTTCTTCTGTGCTCAGGTAGTCCTGGAAGAAGCCATACAGTGATGAGCTCATCTCACTGTCATTCTGCTTTGTCCTCTTAACAGCATGCTCCTTGTCAGCACATGAACTGATTGGCTCCTTGTGCTTCTTCTTCTCACACTTGAGTTCTGCGAGAGGCTGACACCAGTTAGACTGCTTGCATTTACAAATAATACTTTTTATAATGTATAAAATTATTAAATATCAGCATTAATTGTATCTTCTATATCCTCCTTGAGTTCAGCTTTAAAGAATATGTAAACTCAACATTTTATATTCCTGATATGTGCTTGTTGGACTATGTACTTGAATGAAAAAGTATCCTGTTCTCTTTGTATTGCTTCCTTTGTGTGCAATTCCTGGTGTTCCTGCAAATCCCTTTGCATTCCCATAAAAAATTGACCACACTAGGCATGAGAGTACAGTGTGGTCAGTTCTCTAACTACTCTGGAAACTCAGTGGAGTTGATTTACTGAAAATGGAGAGTCCAAAATCTTGTGCAGCTCTGCATAGAAACCATTCAGCTTCCATGTTTTTGTTAAAGCTTAATTGAACGAGCTGAAGTTAGAAGCTGATTGACTACCATGTTTTCCTCCAAAGATTAAACCCCACCCGCACCCCGCCTACACAGCCATTCAGGAAGATCAGTGTCCTGCTGTTTCTCCTTCTACACCTCTGTGTGCAGCTGAGAACAGAGAGTATGTGATCACTTCTTATAAAAAAAAGGGAAAAAAATATTTATAATTTTTTTCTATATCTATACACAAATGTTTTACCTTCCATTTCTATTTTAAACTATATGGGTTGTTTTACAAGGTGAGGGTTTACATATCCAACGCAACAAACACTTTACTCCTGCGCTAGGAAAGGACTCAGTAGACCCAATAGGAATGTTCTGGAATTTTCTGGAATATGCACTGCTTGCTGCCCTCAACAGACCGGAGTGGTCCAAATACACTGGATACAAATGGAGAAACAGAAAAAGGGCGCACCGACCTAGTGCATTATCGTTTAAAATAATTTATTGAAGAAATAAAATAGGTATCATACTCACAATGGACATAATAACACAGGCATGTCAAACTGAACAAGATGTATGATCCAAACAACATCTGAATCCATACGATGGAACCCTGGATGACCAACTGGCTAACGCGTTTCGAGGACACAACCTCTTCCTCAGAGCCAACCAAAGATTTGACATGCCTGTGTTATTATGTCCATTGTGAGTATGATACCTATTTTGTTTCTTCAATAAATTATTTTAAACGATAATCCACTAGGTCGGTGCGCCCTTTTTCTGTTTCTCCATTTGTATCGAGGGTTTACATATACTTTAACTGTCCATTCCATGCATGAAATTAAAGTAACACTAAAGGCAAAACTTTTTTTTTTCGTTTTGGATAGAGAATGGGGGTCATGATGATTGTCATTTTTTTCTGTCTCCCAATGTGGATATTTCCCCTCTTTTCTTGTTCTTTAATAAACAAAGTGCTTATGCGCTATTGGATGTGTGGCTTTTTTTTTTTTTTTTAAATATAAGTGATATCCAGAGAAACCTATTGCTGCAGTCCTCCACTTGTGTAATTTAACACAAATAATATAGAAAACAATGAGACTGCGCATGATTAAAAATATAAGAAAAAATAATAATAGATAAACATATACATATAACAGTCCCAGAAATATAGACCAGGTGCTGGTGCTCAATATATTATCTTCAAAAAAGTGTTCCACTGTGCTTGACAAAAGTACCCCACGTGGACTGACACTCACCACTAATCAATGACCATCTATTTCTAGAATGGTCATTCACGCTTATCCGGGGTAATTCCCAAAATGCCGGTGGTTTCCAATACTATGATCCTATACTCTCCTATACTCCTAAGATGATATCCCAGCACCAGCACTGGGTCTATATTTTTGGGACTGGTATATGTATATGTTTATCTATTATTGTTTTTTCTTGTTCTTTAACCAAAATAGGAAGTGGGAGGAAATGCTTTCAATGCAGAGGAATCCCTGGTTGTCACACAAGAACTAAGGTCCCCATTGGACGTTTTCTGTTAAATTCTTGCTCTGGTGAGAACCCAAAATTTGGGATTTTCTTCTTCTTTCACTATTAATGATAATGGTAAACAGGATAACAAGAGGAGTGAATCTCCCTAACGGGCAAAGACAGCAATAAAACCCGACAGAGGCTCTAATCCCTCTCCACTCTAACCAAAGCAAAAAAAAACCCCTTTTGATATACTTAAAGAATTACACATGTACTGTACACAATATTTATATTTGTAACGTGAACAATTTTAGAAGAAAATTATCATGACTTTAAGAAGATAGCAAGTTGAGCTAAATTGATGGAATTGTGAAGAAGAGAAGACCATAATATACACCAAAAAAAATATTGTGTACATATAAATATAATTATGTCCCTCAAAAACGACAGTTGGAAACTGGTTGTTTGCCATAGGTCACAAAGCAGATCTTCCAAAAATATTTTTATACATAAGGCCCATTAGTGGCACCACTCAGATAGCAGAATAAAGATTAGTCACACATATATTCCTTGACAAGACCACTGCAGGCATTTCTATGCAGCACATTCTATGTGATGTATCCATTCCCATCATTTACTATATAGTCTGGCTGTATCCTGTATGTGTCTGTAGGATGACATCAACTATATGATTCATGAAAGCTGCATCCTTGGCTATGCAATTGCAGAGGTATATTGCGGCGTATCTGACACACTGTCAGCACTGTTTTCAAATGTTTATGAGCAGTCAGTGCTTTTGCTGAAAAGTATGTGTGATCATCTACAGACAGGAGCTCTCTGCTGAACAAGGATTTGGTATAGCACAGCAAGGCGGTAGGGTTTCATTCTGCAGCTAGGCCCCTTGTAAAGAACGTATGTATTTATACTCTTTGCTACACGCCTTCTACATGCACACACATCACTTCGGGAAGAGCGGCATCAGCAAATATTCAGAGCACATATTGCCAGCCTCAAGCACTGAAGAGGTTAACATTGCTGAGCCCGCTATTAATTCTTTTAATGAGGGTGCTGTCATCTCTCGTTTAGGAGACGGAACTGTCAGAGGCGCTTTTTTTTTTTCACCTCGTTTTTTTTTTCCCCAACAATAATTCCCCGGGCCTTTATTAAGAAGGTTCTCCCTTCTTTTCTTAAATTACAAATTTTAGTCGTTCAGCTACTTTCATGTCATTTTTAGGACCCTTTCCTCTAGCCCCAAAACATCAGTTCCTAATAAAGCAAACAAGAATACTCATTCTTTGATTATCTGTCACATTATACTTTCATCTGGGGATTATTCAATTATACGGCTTTGTGGAGGGACATCAACAGAATAAAACCCCACCAAACTAGATAAAAAAAAAACATGATGCCAAACAGGGTAGGATTTACCATTAGGCACAGTAGGCTTGTGCCTAGGGGCAGCCCAGGCTAGAAGATTACTTTGTACTGCAAAATATTTTTTTTCCTTATCAGCAAAGAAAAATCGACTCAAACTAACTGTCACAATATGTTGTGTTTGAATAGATCCAGCTAAGCAAGGAAATGTTCTGGGTAAAATACATGGGGCCTTTGGATGTAAAGGACTCAGGGCACCTTCTTATGTAAACCTTTTTTATGCAAGGATTAAATGATAAAGAATTAGCAGGTCATTGCATGGAGAACACACATTTATTTTAAAGGAGATTCATGAGACTGGGTGGCCATAACAGCATTGTAAAAGTGGCTTAGACTCCATCCCATTTAGTCCTTGTTACAATGAAAACATAATATTGATACATGTATGTATACCGTGAGCAGTAAAATAATTCTACTTTAGAAAGGAAAAACTTATATTTTGTAGAATTGAATCCAAAAGTATTTATACTGATTAGTGAGTATGTAGTGATGTGTATATCTGCAATATATTGCATGTGCACGTGTTTATTATTATTATTATTATTATTATTATACAGTATTTATAAAGCGCCAATAGTTCGCTCAGTGCTGTACATTACAAAGGGGGACAGAACATGTGACAGAACAATACCAATACAATGCAAAACATGAGGGGATCGAGGGCCCTGCTCTTTCGAGCTTACAATCTAGGAGGGAGGGGATGGTGGCACAGGAGGAGATAGCTGTGGGGGATGGAGTGGTAGGAAGAGTGGAGGAGGTCGGCAAGTTAGCAGGGGGTGGGGTAGGCTTCCCTGAAGAGATGGGTTTTCAGGGTGCGCCTAAAGGAGAGGAGAGTAGGTGATAATCTGATGGGTTGGGGGCAGGGAGTTCCAGAGGATGGGTGACACCCTGGAGAAGTCCTGGAGGCGGGCATGGGAGGAGGAGACCAGGGAACTAGAGAGAAGGAGGTCTTGTGAGGAGCGGAGTGTGCGTGCTGGGCGGTACTTGGATATTAGGTCAGAGATGTAGTACAGGGCAGTA